CCCTCCGTTTCCAGCGTTTCATCTTCGTCGATGTCGAGCCCCTTCCATACGTCCTCTACAACCTTGACCCATTCCGTGGGTTGTCTACCCCTCTTTTTGTTTGCCCACTTCGCCTCCCATACAATTCTCGGCAACCTCTCCTCTCCCATCCCGCACATGCGATACTGCCTTGTCAGCTTCCTCGCGTCTCTTCCCGACCGTAGGGATTGGATCCTCAATTCTGCCCTGACGGCTGCATTACTTGTGCGCTTGGAGCATCCTAGGATGATTTTCGCTGCTTTCATCTGCGCCGCCTCGAGTTCTTTCACTACCTTCTTATTTCCTTCCCATACTTCTCCGGCGTACTCTAGCGGCGGTACGATTACGATTACGCTCTTCAAAACCGTCAATTTGATGTGTGTATCGAGGTGCCGGTTTGCGAGTATTGGGTGCAGCTCCCTGCTCGTGCTTTGCCCTTTTCCGTTACCTTGGACATGTGTGCATTCCACGAGCAGTCTTTTGCGAACTCTACTCCGAGTTATGTGTACTGGTCCACTACTGCAATCTCCTCGATCCCCCACTTCCATCTATGTTGAACTGGTTCCTCCTTGTTCTCGTTGCATACCATGACGGCACTCTTCTTAACATTGGCAGACAATCTCCACCTATCTGCCAACGTTAAGAAGAGTGCCGTCATGGTATGGGCGGGAAGAAACGGCGACCGGGCACTGCTGTAGAAGCGAGTAGGGCGTCCAAGGCACCACTTGTGGCGAACTTATGTACCCGGCTGATGTTGTTGCGTCCTGTTTCCCTCTCTGCTGCATGCTATACTCCTTTATGTACGTCCCTTGTATTGCCTTCGGCCTCTTTGCTGTGTTTCATATTTTCATGTCCTCCCTGCCTACTCTGCTGTGTTGGGTACCTTGATCTCGCTTTGCTGTTGCCTATGTTTTTGTACGTCTGGCTGTCTGCCCATCTGCCGCCTCTTTGTCCTGTTTGCTCCGTTACTCCCATGCCCTGGTGCGTAGTGCCTGGTGCTGGTACGTTACCCTTTGATTTTTTCTTTAGGGGGGTGTGGGAAGCGTCCTCCGTTATTTTTGTTTTTGTTTTATTTTGATCGGTTTCCGAGGGCTCTTTTCTCGAACGGCCGGTGCGGTAGCTGTTCTTTACTTTCTATCATTTTGTTTTCTTTTTCCGAGTGGTTTGTACCCTATTTTTGTTTTGTTTCCCCGTGGAGTCGAATGTGCCGGGTTTTGAGACCAGGGGCTCCCCATTTTTTGTGGACTATCGAGCTAATGTGAGAAACAGCAACAACAACTATGCCAGAGGAGAACAAAATACAACAGACCTAAGAGCAGTGTAGAAAAGGGTCATAAGATAGATGAGCAATGAATCCATGGTGTCAGCGGAAGCTACCTGTATTTCTACGATTTCCCAAGCAGCATTCAACGATATCTCGTCTTTGCTTTTATTTCCGATGTCGAAATAATTTGGAACTCAGAACGTTACACGTGTGTAGGACGTGAAGCCGCACTGTTATTAGGGTGTGGGCGTGGGATGGGGTTCGGCTTTTCCTCTTTTCCTCTTGCTGTGTGTTAACGGCACCGTGACGCAACAAGTGTTCTTCTGTTGCAACCTGCTCTAGATGCATCACTTACGCCGAATGTCTTGATAACATTTGTCACGCGGTTCGCGCACATGGCTAGGACGGCAGTGTAATCGACGAATGATTTGCGTCCGCGCAAATCTGGCACTGATGTCTTCTAGGAGAGAAGTAAGGTATCGTGATGAGGGCAGTCTAGTGCAGGTAAGAGAAATAGTCCCTCCCTGTACTAGTCACTACGCCTGGCACAAAGCCAGTGCAGATAGTTGGCGCAGGGGGAATCCTCAAGTTGCCTATTTAGTGAAAGACTACTCAGGTAGGAGAGCGAGTGCCCGGCACAAGGCCGGCCACATCCTCCACACGACAGTACTACATACTCCTGTTGCGACGAAAACATGAGTCGTCGCATGGAAGGAGCCGACCAAAAAGGTTTTTGGAAAATATACACTGCTGTAGACTCGTTCCCTCCCGAAAAGGACAGCAGCAGCACCCTTGAGGAGAAACTGCATCCAGGTCTACTGCTGTAGTCGCTATGTACCAACATGCACGACAGCCAGGTTACCACATTTGCAGGCCTACGCACACGGACGGGGTAGTTAATTATCAGAGCGCTCGCCCGCCGGGGACTGTGCTCTTTCACATTGCTATCGTCGTGTGTGTGGGCTACCAACCTATTCGGGTCCGGTACGGTCTATCTCTCTCTCTCCCTCACCTTGAGGTGTCCGCCGGCCGCGGCAGAGTCCATCGCGCTCGGCATTTGCGGCACGTCGGTGTAGTCGTGCATCCACCGCACGACGTCCATCCGGCCGTTCTTCGCTGCCCTGCTCAAGCCCAGGTGGGTGTAAGAGAGGGGGTCGCCCTCGGCGTGCTTGGAGATCATCAGCGACAGGTGTCCCTCTGCGGCAGCGACGTCACCGTTCCAGAAGTCCGACCCGCTCTCGCCATCCTGGTACTGGCTGATGCGCTCCCACAGCCCCAGGTCGGCGAACAAGGCGTGCGCTCGCTGCTGTTGGGTTGATGCCGGAGATGCCCCTTGCCGTTGTGGTGGTTCATGTTCTGCTGGTCTACCCCTTGCTATTCGCTCGTCCATGTTGCTGCTGCCGCTGCTGCTGCTCGCAGCCAGGGCGTTTGTGCCATTCGTGATGGCGGGGCGCAAGTTGTCCTCCGATTCGTTGTCGCCGACAACGTCGTTGATAGCCTCGCTAGTGGTCGGCGAGTACACGGGTGAACTCGAGATGGTCGTTTGGCTTCCGTCGCCTATGCTGAGACGTCTTGCTTTGGTCTCGTCCTGCTGCAAACAGAAAAAAGCACGAGGGCACAAGTCCCTCAGGCTGTGCTCGCGACGAGCTCTTGCGGTAGCACAGCAGCATGGCCCGTATATGTTCTAGGTTTAGATGAGAAATTGTAAGACGCACCAAGACCCAGTGCTACCTCACGATGCTGTGCACAACAAAAAAGCATGTACGTTGCCGCTCGGCAGATAGTTCCGCGACTCTCGTCTTGGTGCGTCGAAAACAAACAAGATGCAACTAAGTACTTGCAACGAACTCTCTTGGTTCCTCTCCGTCTCTACTGCATGAAGGCAAGAGCACGTCCGTGCCGTCTCACCTCCTCTCCCGTCGTGCACAGCAGCACCTCTCCCATTTCCCGCGTGTGGGTGCACATGAAGGGTTCTCTCTCTCAGCTCTCTCTCTCTCTCTCTCTTCGCTCCCACTGCCAGTTTGTGCCTGATCTCCGACAAGCGCGAGCCGAAAGATGCAGCTGAATCAGTCCTTTTCCTTCGCTGATGCCCCACCACAAGCGCGATGATCCCGCTGTAGGTTGATAGGGCTCGCTAGAAGCTGTCACGATACTCTGTTTCCCTCCTGGGACAAGGTTTGCGGCAACTGGCAACTGGATGTGTGTCATACGTCTGCTACGTCGCGTCGCACATGGGAGAAATCTGTTCGGGTCGACCACGTCGATATTGACCAATGAAACGACGTGGCCGCGTTTTGTCTTCGAAGATCTGCCACTTTGCTTTGCATTCGTGACGTCACAATATGGTCGTGATTTTTTTGAGAAGGGAAGTAGATTCGGTTCACTGGAATATAAGCGGGATATCCAACCTGATACCCGCTACCTTTTCTGTGGTAACACACATAGTCTACACACCCAGCCCTGTAGAGAGACCACTCCGTCTGCTGCTGTAGGACAACAACGAAGACAGGTTCAGCCATGCATGAAAATAATCGATCGCGTTCTGAGCGTAATGGTCGATGACTCGTGGAGTCTCTTGCCATATGTACCTCACAACTAACTTCGGTTGGTTGGTTTTGCTTCACAACGAACGGAACGAAACCATACTGCTGCTGGCTGTAGTGTGCTGCATGCAATGCTTGTTTTCGAGCCGACAACGGGTCAGCGTACACTTGGTTGCTGGCACACTGCAGAGAGAGGAAATTGCCGACGACGGGGCCTCATTCCCTCCTAGCTTATATCCTAACAATATTTGTAGTCCAGCCGTCGTAGGGTAACCCCAGGTTATTTGGGACAAATTGGGCAGATAAAAGTGGACGTTGGCCAATCAGCTACCTGGGCGTTTGCCGCTGTTGACCAGGATCATCTATTGTTATCCCCGATTTTGTACGACGCTCCTAGTATTGGATTGATTGTCACAACACATCATATATTTTCCCGATAGTCTAGACTATATTGTACGCGGCTCCTCCGAGGCGGGTTTGTTTGTTGGCTGGTCGTTCGTGATTCTGATGTGCCGTTGTATGCCGTGGAACCCATCCGCAACGACTTCATGACACCACGTCTTCTCTATCTAGTATGATCCCTCGCGTTATAGTGTAGTCACTCCAAAAACTACGCAGCACGCTGTTGTCATCTACGTTGTACACTTGTACATTTTTTCCAAGCTCATTTCTTGCAATAAATGCATTAATAAATTGTAAACGAGCATGAATTGTTTCAGCAACTTCATTAGGAAGTTTATCTAAATTTTCCTTATCGAAATTAAATGAACGAAATTCTTGACTTAATTCAATAGGCTCACAAACAACAACTCTTTGATCTTCATCATAACGTAATTCAAGATAACCACTTAAAGGAAAATCTTTCCTATAAATTAAAACCAATTAAGGGAAGCGGTGGATGCTGTCGCTGACTGATGCCATGCAATACGATGCATGTGTCTGATGCATACCTTATATGACACAAGATAACACACCCCCTGGACCGATTTTCACATCTCGATGACTCCACGACGACGAGGATGCATAAACGAAACGATACATTTTCGAAAAGCTCTAGCCGAGACGGTTTCGCCGCCGCCGTTTTCGGCGCTGTGACTGTTCCTGCAGTTGAGAAATCGAGCTTCGAAAAAATGGTCAAGGGGGTGTGTCATCTTGTGTCATATAAGGTAGTCAGCGGAAGGTTATTATTTGCTATTGATACTGTACTCCGAAGACGTCCCGAGACTATGTATTGTTTTGCCGTGCGGTGAAGACGTGTAGTGTGTTTGACTTTCGAGGTCTGAACGTGGAGAGAGGACAGGAGACGACAGTCTAAAAATCAGAGTGGGTGATGTGCAATTTTACTAATCTAGACTAAGGCTTTTTGATTCGGTGGGAGATGGTGCTGGTTTGTGACACGTATCCAGTTAAGTAAGGTAACAATACAAGCACGTGCAATCTCGTCACAAACTCACTAGACTATAAAGACTATAGTACAGCCGACACCTTCTCTACGCCGAACCATCTCCACGGTAGCGGGTAACATGGTATGCCCCGTTTGAACCTGGATGCCATGGGAATCCTGGGCGCCATGGAATCCGATCAGCCCCATCAACAACTACCAGTCATGGCATCAAACTCTCAACGAAAACCAACAACATGTGGTAGGCAGCTGAGATCGGCTTGCAACGAACAGCTACATGTAGTCTAGGGTACCAAGCAGTGCATGGCAGCGCGCATTCTCCGGCCGCTCGCAATCCTATGACATGAAACATAGCAGCTGGTCCACAAGTAGACCAGTGTCCAACCGGGTGCTTGCCCGTTGCGTAGACTACTCAGGCTAAATGCATGGCCTGTCCAATCTAAGCATGCCGCTACGCCGCTTGCGCAGAGACAACAAGAAACTAAACGGCGACGAGCAATGGTGGAGTGCGCACTACTATAACACTTCATCATGGTGTAGGGCACCGATAGACAGACGACGTTCAGCGAGGACCTACAAAGGTCCGACTGTTTAAAAACGTCAAAACGTCACGTTCCATCTGCAACACCCCATCCACCCTTAGGCTTACAACCTCATCTAAAGACACAATCTCCGGCGTTCTTCTTACTCCTCATCAGTCAACGCACGACAGTTTACGCGCACGACCGTTCACCTCTCAGGAGCCTAAAAAAATGGAAAATGTGTAAATAAATTTTTAACAAAGCGTCGCCGATCGCTCAGATCATGGAACGCCGGCGTTCTATGCACTACATCACTTACAGTTTCCTTGGGGTAAACCGGCGACAAAAATGTGCTAAGTCTCAGTACAATCGACGTACGTTCTTGAACGGGTGAAAGTGCACGTCCGTCCTACCACATCCGGTCGCTGTGTTTGCCGTGATTGACGCAGCGAGCACTGCCAAATCATCGTGTCACATTCAACCCTACACCTGTCCGGCTTGCCATTGCTGCGTGTTTCCCCCAACTCAATGAAAGTCCCAAGTCCGAAATTCTCCAACCATTCTGCCCTCCACCTCACACCCCTGTCTATCGTACGGCATGTGACACCCTCCCGGCGCACTTGTGCATTCGTCTTGCAGATGTCCCGTCGAAAAAACGAACAAGGAAACCGCCCATCGTGGCCGCAGGTAGGTGGAAATATTAAGAAAGTAAACATAACCTCACAGAAAGACTACCCGTTCGAGATATAACCTCAGTCGAAAGGGATGTGGTGAAGTCTTTTCAATATGTGGATTGAAACCAACTGGAGACTTTGCTTATTTTGAGTTTGTTTAAGCCTAATACTGAGTTGTCTAATTCCAGTTAGAGCTAAGAACAAAAGCATCTTTATAGGCAGATACATTCTCAATTATTTATGTGGAATGTGGCCTTCACAGGGAACATGGCGCAGTGTCGTTTGACAAGTTACTGTTTTAGAAACTACTTCGCTGCTGTTTTAGGCGACCATTGTTCATCATGTAGTCCACACGCACTACAAAAAAAAACTGTTTTTTTTTATTTCAACAGTTGGAGGTGTACTGTAGATTTGAGTGTGGCTGTTTCCGGCTCATTTTGCAATCTACAATGTTATGTCCTTCGTGTAAGTAAACGCGTTGAAGGGGAGGGGGATACATAGGATAGTAGGTTAGGAGTGATACTGATTTACAGCAATGGAGTTTAGTCTTTCTTGTGTGTAACGTATCATCGAGGCAAATGAACAGGTGGCGGTCACCACAGCAGTAGAGTCATGAAGTAGCAGCAGCAACGAGTAGTCTAGTAGTCGATTGTAGTAGTGGATCTAACTGGTCCACGACGAAAGGTACACACGCGTTGTGTCGAAGTACACACCTGGGAGTTGATACGCAGCATGAGAAGGTGGTGTCAGCTGCGAGGTCAATATGGGTGAGCGGCTTTGCACGAAACTCGATTTAAGCCTTCCCGCCTTGCCTCAAGTCTTATCGGAGGAGAGCTATGTATGTATGTGGTACCACGGCAGGGATCCGAATGCTCCTATTTGTTCTTACCTCCATTTTTGCCCACGAGCTTGCCTGACTAATAATGGAGGCCACGTGATTCTCTTCGTAGCTTCTCTTCGTAACTTCACCAAGAGGGAAAAATTGCCCACATGCACTGCTGTACAAGCGTCAGAGAGAGATACAAGCGTCTTTGCCTCGACAAATTCACACCATAAGATACACAAGTTTGCCAAGAGTCTTTTCGTTCCTTCGATGAATCAACAAGGAGGCTTTTTTGTAGAGCCATTACGTCGTGTGATCCTTCCTCTCTCTCCCTTTCGCACACACACACGCCAAACGGCCCACCGCCGCAAACCTGTATTCCGTCATTCGACTCCTCCGCGCCCCCTTCCACAAATACCTCACGACGCTTCGGGAGCATGCTTGTTTTTTTATCGCCTGCTTAGTGGAAACGCCGTTGAGCTTTCACGGTGAGGGCAGAACCGCTCGCTTCTATTGGGCAACCCCTCATTTTACGCCCAAACCCAACCGACAAATACCTAGCTCCCTCCTGGAGTTTCGATGAAAGACGAATCAGAAAGCGGCCCGACGTGAACAATGCATGACACCGACCGATGCTTCAAATCGCCGCTCTCCCGGTCTCCCTCACCCACTTCTTTAACCCTTTGGGTTACGTTGATCTGACCATCGTCTCATCGTCTCCGAGGTTTCCATGTCATCAGGGCGTGGTTCGCGAGGTGCGCGCGCGAGGGCTAGGGTTGACGGGCTCCGAACGGCCATCGCGAGCGTTTGCCAGGGGTATGTGGCCCAAGTGTCCCAAATGTCGCAGCGGTAGCTGCAACAACGCGGAAGGCCAGAGCAGCAGGGAGAGGGGGACAAACACATGAGACTCCTTACTCGCCGCTGTTCTGTTCTCGTTCCCCTTTGCGAGTTTCCTTTTTGTTGCTTCTATTTTCTTCTTTATCTTCATCATCACTTCACCACTGGATTTTGAAAAACCCTCATGTTCTTAACTGACTCTCGGTCGGGTAAATGTTGTTTGATGTTATTTGTCCACGGGTAAAAGCGATCCTTGGACCCGCGACGGCGATACTTGGCCTCACGTTGCGTATCGCCGATGGGGGAACGACGATAAAATAAACGAGCATTCCCCCCCATCTCATAGGGCTATCCGCACCGGTGTTCACGTGTACAAGTAGCAGGGGGGGTTCAACGTCGAGATGCAACGACGGCTTCGAGGTGATGGAGTTGTTTGTACAACGACGCAAACGTTCGCCGTCAGGAAAGGGGACCGAATCAAGACGCACGCGAGGGGCAACCACGGCAAACGCCACGAAACAAGCAAGCGGAACTTAAAAACAACACCAACATCAACAAACGAGAGTGCTGCTGGAACACAATAACAAGAAACGATGGTGCTGTTGACACAATTTCAACGTTTTATTACATATTTTTTCTCCGTCCTTTCTACATGAACCACTCATCAGAGTCATGTGTTCGCGTGCAAGAACAGAGAACGTGCAAAATTCTTAAACCGCGGTGCACCTTCGCTGCAGCTAGATCGACCGCTCGTTGTTGGCAGGCGTGACGCCTCGAGCACCCTCCGCATCATCATCACCATCATCAACCCCTTCCCCGTCCTGGGTTCTCCTGTTCTTGAGCCCCATCACGAGCTCCGCCACGGCGGCGTCTTCCGCGGAGTTGGCGGGCGGGACCGCTGTTGCCGCCGCCAGCGCGCCCTGCAGAGCGCCCCCCGCGCCGGCGTGAGGGTCCCCGCTGCTGGTTGAAGAGGTAGTCGCGCCCGCACCGCCCTGTAGTTCGAACATGTTACCGCCGAGTGCCCCCCCCCCGCCGCCGGCGGCGGTGGTACCCTGCCTTATCATGGACCCGGCAAATGTTTGGATGTCCATTGGGGAGTAGAGGTGCCGGTCGAAGCTCTCCGTACCTCCAGCTATGGGATGGGTGTCGCTGAGGAAGGATATGCCGCCAGGACCTTGCCGCTGGAACGGCGTGCCTCCCCCGCTGCCGCTGTCGCCGCCCGTGCGCCCGCCAGTTCCTGATCCGCAGAAGGTCCTCGAGTAGTTGGCGGAGGAGTTGGCGACGCTGTACACCCCGCCGTTCACGTTGGAGTCTCCGCCCGCCTGCTGCTGCGAGTCTAGCTTGGGGCGGGCAGAAGCGGCCGCCTCGACGGCGAGGCGCGCATCCCTCAGATCTCTCGCTCTCTTCCGGCTGCAGACGTTCACCATACCCTCTTTCGCGTGCTGCGCACAGAACTCCCGCTTCTTGGAGCCGACCACGCCGTACGATGGCCCCTTCGTGCAGCCCTGAAAGCCGCACCTCTTGTTGTACACGTCAACCATCCCTCCCTTTGCATGTGGCGCACAGAACTCCCGCTTCTTGCTGCCGGCGACACCGTATTTTGGCTGCTTCGTACAACCGGGGTGAGCGCAGCGCTTGTTGCACACGCCCACCATCCCCGGCCTCGCATGATTTGCACAGAACTCGGCCTTTTTGGAGGCGGGCATGCCGTACGACGGCCACTTGTTGCAACCGCTGTGCGCGCACCTCTTGCTAACGACATCGATCATCGTCTTTTTCGCGTGATCGAGGCAGAACTCGGGCTTCTTGCTACCCGGTGCACCGTAGGAAGATCGCTTGGTACACCCCGCATGGCCGCACCTGCTCGTGGGGATACGGACAGTGGTTGGATAGTCTGCGGTGCGTTTTTGCGCTACACAGATGGTAGAGACTAGTGGTGTAGGAGGTGCCATGATGATACACGGGGACCCTTCCTGTTTGGTGTGCTGCATGCAACCGCTCCCTTTCAACGCCACGCCCTGGAACGCGCATTGTCTCATCTCCCGGAGTTGACCTTGTTGAGTCTACAGGCGCTCGGACAGATGGTTGATAGATCGTTTTGTAGGGTTGGGGACTGGCCCTGCGCACCAGTCTCAGAAATACTGGCTGCGGCACACAGCCAGTAACCTGGACATCATCAGTACATTGGCCACCGCGCCCCCCCGGCTGGTGAGGGGGCCCCGCCGGAGGCGGCCCCGGAGGGCCCCGCTGGAGGCGCCCCTGCGGAGGCCCGCCGGAGGCGCGTTTGTACGCGATTTGGCTTCACGAGGTGGACATATATTTTGGGTGATTTGGGGCCACTTTGAGGACGCCAGAGTCAGGGATTGAATCCTTGAAATCCTTGAAGAACGATCAATATGTTGGCAATTTTTCTTAAAGCGTGGGTTGGGTGTGACAACACGCATCGGATATAGCATGAAGCTTTGGTTGGGTGTGACACACATCGAATTCAACATGTTCACCATGAAACTGCTTCCAAACCATCTTCAACTTGAAAGCAAAAGATGGTTCTCATTTTTCATCAAGATGGTGCGAATTTTTCTTCAACAAATTTGTGTCCTTCGTTTTTGTTTTTGGTTTGGGTATTTGCTTTTCAGCAATATAGACAGCAAAACTGGAAGGCATTTAGTTAAGATCACGCTGCTGGTGGCCAGCCTGCATCTTTTGCTGGGGAGAAAAAAACATATTGACTTTTATATATGCATACTAACTTCTGGCCGTTCTACATGATGAGTCATAAAGGCCCGACTGTTTTTTTTCCGAGGCCGCGGCGGGTTCTGTGCTTCATCCTTGCGCTCCTCTCTCACCCTCTCATGCGGTGCAATGGTGGGTTTCCACGTGGTTTAGGAGGCATGATGCGGGACGTGCGTAACATGCGTAAGTACTGGCTGTACTGGCACCCCTCTGAGCCAGTCCTAGGAATACTGTCAGTACCTACTGGTCCAGTCCCCGACCCTATCGTTTTATCAATTAATATGTTTACGAAAGCGTCGAACAGACGGTCTCGTCGTGGAGGGGAGGATAGGGAAAAGCATCCATCAGAGGTACGCAAAGAGCTCATGGGGAGGCCTCTACGCCCCACGTGGTCTGCCCTGTCTATCTGGGAGGCGTCGTTTGTACCGCTTGAGATAGTGGTAGCGGCAGCGCCAGTCGGCATTCCTGTATGTACATCAGCGTCCGTGTTCCGTCGAGCAGCAATCCACACGTGCTTTGCACGCTGGCACTGAGGACAGCGAGCTTGGCATGGAGGACAGCGGGTCTGATTTCGACCCCAACGAGGCTAGTGATAACGATGAAGATTAGGATGACGATGGCATACTTGACATGGGCCCAATGTACAGACCGCGATGTTGTGCGAACTCGCACAACACTGGTCTCAATATGCGGGGGGCAGCTCTGCAGCAACGAAAACATCCGACCCCGACATCACCGGTCACGCCACCGGTCCAGACGGCCTCGCCTGAGCCGCAACAGCGGCAGAGGCAGCGGCAGCGGCAACGGCAGCAGCGGGAACGATACCCACCGGAGCCTGCTCCGGCCAGTAACTCGAACTCGCATGACGCTAGTGACATCACCCGGGGCGCAATTGGCAACAGCGAGCACAACAGCGGACGCCGGCCCGACCGGTCACGCAGCAGCTCCGGACGACCTCGCGTGAGTCGCAGGAGCAGCAACAGCAGCAGGAACCAGCCCCGCCGGATCCTTCTCCGGCCAACTCTGCTGTATATGTTGCTATCTTAGCCCGCGGCCGGAACAACGGCCAAAAGTGCGGCAACAAGGTTGGAGGCAGGACGGCAGGATTTCGCAAGCACCATGACGGCATCTAGCGCTGCTATTAGAGTGGGGAGCAGCGGTGGGCCAGCCAATTATGATTCGGAAAACGAGTTAGGTGGTGGCGTGGACGAACTGCAGATTCCTCATGCGGATCTTCTCATACGTAACAAAGTCCAAGGACGTGCACTACGCCCAGGCAGCGAAAATCGCTAATGACGGCTTCAGGAGGGCGCAGGAGAGTGTGTGGCACCTCAAGCGCAGAAGCTCCCAAAATAAACGTGAGGCAGGTGGAGTTTCGCCTAAATTCGAGCGCCGATAAGTTTTCCTAGAAAATAATCCTGCATGAATAAACGATCAAACGCCATGAGTACACATTGGTGCCGCTTTGTCTTTGTTAGATAACCATACACATGTTTCTCATGTAGGTGTTTGGTTCACAGCAGTATCATCGACCGCGCTAGCCGGCTGACCAATGCTAGTTTTGGAGTCCCTAATTGCTTTTAATAGGCGAAATTGCCACCTGCTCCGTGGTGCTCTGACCAAACGTACAACCTGAGGCTGCCTTGTGCCATGTGTTTTTAGGTGCTGTTGTACGACTCAGTTCTTTCATGCATTGTTAGGTTAACCTCTATGATACTCCTCCCCTTAGGTGTTTGTTGTTGGCATTTTCCAGGAAGGTCAACCACCTTCTGGTCCGGGACTGGGTTGTCTTTAAGGAGGTTCTTCGAAGAAGATGGCGGACGGATCTCGAGAGTACGCCTTATACATACATGCAATTGTTATTTATTGGTGTGTGTGCTATTCTATGGGGCACACCTGATGCGGAGTTTCAGTCGTACTGGGGATCATCCTTGTTGAGCTTGCCGGTGGCTGGGGCCAAATGGAAGAAACGGCCGTAGAACAGTATGAACAGGTCTCGAGGCATGCGGGCCCGGACCAGGGGGTAGTTGTTGTAGGCTCCGACGTCCCACGGATCGATCATAGACCTGTTCATCCTGTTCTACGGCCGTTTCTTCCATTTGGCCCCAGCCACCGGCAAGCTCAACAAGGATGATCCCCAGTACGACTGAAACTCCGCATCAGGTGTGCCCCATAGAATAGCACACACACCAATAAATAACAATTGCATGTATGTATAAGGCGTACTCTCGAGATCCGTCNTCATAGAATAGCACACACACCAGTAGATTACAATTTACAATGGTATATTTGGTGGGTGGGTGTGTTCTACCATTTCGTTAGAGAGTGTATATAAAATTCAGTTTTGGGAACGCACCATACATTATTCTTTCCCGTCGGCGCTGTGTTGTCTCCTCCGCCCTCTCAGCAGAACAGCCTACATACTGCCGAATAGAAATTGCAAGAAAACAAACCGTTGGGCCTGATGGAAGCTGCTTTGGAAGAGAGTGTGTGTCGTCATCGGAACACGAAATATCCGTATCGTTGTCGGCCTCAAAATGCGCTCGGGTTGCACAAGTGATAGTGCAACGCCGGTTGGGAAAGTAAAACTCAAGCATGTCCTGCGGACCCCCGTCCCAAAGTGGTTAACTGCGATGGCACTTCCATCACTGGTCTCTACGCGAACCCCGCCTGGTAGCTCCTCTGATGCGGCGATCCAACGGGTCTGTGTTTGCCGACAAAACACGTGTGCACTCTGTCAGACCGTGCATATGACTCGTGCTAAGGTGACCACGATGTACATCTGCTACTCTTGGCAGGGAGCTGGAGGACGTGTTGAACATGTCCGACGCTGCAGAGGCAATAGAGAGGTATCTAGCGGAAAACCGGGGAGGCGGCGCCCCGTCCGAGGTCATGGTCGTGAGACCTGACAACGGAGGAGAGTTTTGCGAGAGAGAGTTCGGAAAGCTGTGCCGCAAGTGCTGCATCAAGCAGGAGTTAACCCCGCACACAGCCCAGCATACAGCTCTCTAGCTGAGAGAGCACCCGGGTCTGATCAAGGATGCAACACTACCCGCCCGTATCCACGCGCCGATTCGTTACCCCGGAGCGCTGAACTACCCCTCCCATTGGGCCGAGGCCATAGCTTGGGCATGCAACGCCCTGTGCTGCACCTCCACCACATCCAACCCGGAAAATAAATCGCCGCTTGAAATGTGGCACGGGCATCCCCCTCCGCCAGGGGTGACGTACCCGTCTCTCAAACCCGCCGTATGCAAGGTCAAGCGCACGTACAAGTCAGAGCCGAAAGCAAAAAAATGTTACTACCTCGGCCCTGGGGTCAACCACAACCGTGACTGCGTGCACAACCTGACCGAAAAACACCAAACAATCACTACTCGAAACTTCACCTGGCAACCCGTGCCCGCCGTCCCGACCGCGCACCCCCAGCCACTGCCTCCCATCACAGGGGAGGAAGTGGCGCTCACAACCGAGGAGCACGAGGGAAAGGAGGGTGCGCCATGCCAGGGTGGAGGGACGGTGGAGGGAGAACCTGTGTAAGGAGGACCAGGTTTCAACCCTGATACGACGGCAGCCGCGGGGCCCGGCCCGCGCGCGATGCACCGGCAGCGCCGCCGGCCGCGCCCCAGGAGTCCGGCGCGGGCTACACAGGCGATGGCGCCCCCTCGGTTAGCGGCGGTCGCGGCAGCAGCCGCGACAGCGACACGGATCTCCCGGCGCTCCGCGGGCCAGAGGCCCGGAGGCTCTTCCGGGTTGCCCTCGCCGAAACCCGATGTACGAGTCGCCGCCTTCGCCGACGAGTGCGGAGGCCCTGCTCGCCTCGGTGGCGAGGTTGCCCATCAACAGCATGGGTGAATTCGCCCGCTCGATGCTCGCGTCGGTACTTCGTGTGGCGCAAGGGCTAGGGGGGGTATGAACCTCAACCACAGGAACTTTAAACAGGCATACACACATGCCACGTTGGATGAAGAAGTGTACGCGAGGCTCCACGCTGGGTGCGGGGAAAAATCGCACAAAATCGCGAAGGCTGAGTGTGTTATTTACGGTTTAAACCACTGCAAGGCAGTGGTTCATTGCAGTGGTTCAAACCGTACATAGCACGCTCAGCCTTGACGATTTTATGCGGTTTTTCCCCGCACCGAGCGGTGAGCCTCATCTACACTTCCTCGTCCAACGTGGTATGTGTAGGTACCATGTTGCCGATAAGTTAGTCGAGAGCGGGTTCGAGCAGTGCGCGGCGGATCCGTGTGTTTTCCGCAAGATGGTAGACAAAGTCGTGGTGATGATTATCGTGATTTACACGGATGACATTTTGGTGGCTGGGTCTGATGGGGATTGCGGGGTTGGACGCTTCTCTTAACAACACATTCCCAAAGATCATGGAGAGTGCGTGTGGTTTGACGGGTGTGCCATTGAGAAAGACCGTAGAGGCTGGAACTCCTAAAATCTCCCAAACCACGTACATTGACAGCACGGTGAATCGCTTTGATGTACAATCGACTTCGCCCATCCCTGCTTCCCCTGGTGCCGACCTAGAACCGAAGCGAGATGACTGGAGAGGAGGGGAGCGGCAGGTGCATCGGCATGGTGTGGGTGTCGACGTTCTCGCTCCCAGACGTCTCCTTCGCCGTGCGTGCGGTAGCCCACTCCAACCGAGAGGCACTGAAAGGCCGTCATGAAAATCCTCGCCTACCTGAAAGGGACGAGGGACCTCGGCATCACTTATAAACGGGAATCGGGGTTGGGGCTGGTGGTATACGTAGACGCTAGCTACACCGACGCGGAGGACAGGCGTTCGGTGTCAGGGTTGGCGACGACGGTTGGAGGTACCGTAATCAGCCACGGTAGAAGGAGCATCGTGTCATGTCTTCGGCCGAAGCCGAGCACATAGCTGCCAGAGAGGGTGTGAAGGAGGCTCTGTTCGTGCGTGCAGTGCTTTCGTTTGTGTCCAAGAAACTAGCGGCAGCAGCATCCAGGTCCTTGAGGACAATAGGGGCCGTGGCTTTGGTGCAGAACCCCCTCAGCTCAGCTCGCAGTAAGCACATCGAGGTGCGGTACCACTTCTTTCGCGGGTTGTTCAGGTCGGGGGATATCTCGATAAGGTTGTGTCGACGTCGGAGCAGCATGCCGATCTGCGCACAAAAGCCCTTGACAGGAGCATTCTGCAGCAACACCGGAGCAAGTTGATGAATTTGCCGGAAGCTGTAGCTGTTTTATCACTTGGGAATTGTAGGAGTAGGGGACACTGGGAGACCTTTGTCCGGGGGAACGTAGTTCCTTGCGATCTCTGGTATTCTTGTCTTCGTCTTGGTCTGTCTAACAAGTGCGGCTGTTGAATCTCCTCAATAATCCAGGAAACGCTTTCACATGTCATTTTCCAAAGTGTGATTCCAGTACGAAACTACTATCGCAAACTAACCGTCCTAAGTGGTCGCTTGTGTACAATGTTAGTGTCTGAGATTGTAGCCCTTGTGATACACTGCAGACTAGCGGTCCGCGATTTTCCAAACGATCCTTCCACCATCGAGATCGGTGAGGTACAGGCAGGATTTCAACGCTTCAAGCACCTTTTGGTTATGGTTAGATCTAGTCTGCATATACAGAACCCCAGGCATTCAAGTCGACTATGGCGACGAGTAGGACACGTGAGGGAAGAGCTGCGCTGAAGTTCGCGGCCCCACACACTCACATAGGCGCTGATTCGCCGTTGATTTGTGCTTGGAGCGTTTCAAAATCGGATCGCACAGCAGCTTGAAAAAATCCTGCTTGTAGCTCACCGATCTCGATGATAGAAGGATCGTTAAGGAAATCGCAGACCGCTTTTCTTTTGTGCATCTCAAGGACTACAATCTCAGACACATTGTACAGCAGTGTATACAAGCGACCGCTTCGGACGATTAATTCGCGATGGTAGCTTCATAGTACAGACGATGTAGACTTTGGTAAACTGAGCTATGCACGCGTTTTCTGGGTGTTTGAAGAGGTAACACTGCGTACACCCCCGCGCCCACAACGCCACGCCCTGGTAGGGGCGCTGTCTCGTCTCCTGAAGATATGCACTCGCGCAAAAGTCTAAACTCGAAAAGAAGGCGGTGCGGCTGCAAACGTACCTCTTGCTGCACACGTCCACCATATCCTTGGAAGCGTGCGCGACACAGAACTCCGCCTTTTTCGATCCCTTGCGGCCGTACGAAGGGTGCTTGGAGCAACCTGGGTGGTCACACCTCTTGCTGATGACATTCAGCATCCCGTCTTTAGCGTGGGTCGCGCAGTATTCTGCCGTCCGGGTGCCTTGAACCCCGAATGAGCCAACCTTGCTGCACCCGTGCTGCTTGCATGTCTGGGAAAAACGCGGCGGGATGGGAGCAGCAACAAAGCACACCCCACAGCAGCGCGCGAGAAAAAAAGGCACCACGGAGGGCACTCAAAGGAGACGATAGTCACGCGCCGAATGCGTCCACCCGACAAATGTGGGGCGAGGAGACCTGGTCGAGGCAACAGCCTTTCCGTCGTTCGTCAATCTCGACCATCGCTGAAGGTGGGAACTACACATGCTGTTTGTTGCGGAATGTCAACGTAAGAGACTCCTACATAACGTTTCACCACAAGCATGCACACCTCCCTTGCGTTTGGTTATGTTGCCGTTGCCTGCTTCATGGGAAGCTCAACTCACCACCATGATTGTAGCCGGCCCTGCCCACAGCTGCTGCTACAACGGGAGGAACAGATGTGTATGTATGTTCGGGAACGGTTTTATCCGAGACTGGGTGGCGCAGATCTCTGCCTTGGGCGGTTGAGCCGTGTCTCCCTTTTGGTTCCGCGATTCGGGAGAGAGGAAATTCAACGGGGCGCCCGGTCTATCTTCACGATCCAGGCAGCAGGCGTGTCGCGTTAATTCTCCATTGCACGAAAGGACCGAGCACGGTGAGATTCTCTGATCATATGTTGAGGCCAGGCCCTCAGGGGGGACCATCGGACAGGACATGTTTTTGGGTTGTGCGGGGTACCGCATTAAAAAATCTCCTTTACGATCTCCTCTCCTTTTTTGTAAGTTCTCTCTGCGTCTCTGCCTCCACTGCTGTGTTGCTGCCGTCACGAGCTTGCTGTCAGATACACCGAGCTTTGTCTTGTTCCGGTTATTGATGCATCACTTTCTCTGGGTTTTCGAGATTTAAAAAATTTGGCCGATTCGAAAATTGCAGTCAATAGATGAGGGCCTTGATTGCCACGAAAAAAGCCGGCAACACACACCTCGGAGAATTAATCGGACACAAATAATTTGAGTTTTCGTCCAGTCGGGTGTGTTTTCGAGGAACTGGGTTTTAGTTTTATCGGGTGTAGTCGTACCAGCTTCACGAAGGTGCGAATGAATGGATGTACACGCACGACTCATCGGGGCGAGCAAAAAAACTCTCAAAGTCTCGGTGTGAGCGCAGTGGCTGTAAATTCGTGCGGTAGGCAAGCGAAGCAGCGGACCAGGCCATCACGAAACTAGATGCCGCGGCGACAGCTGCCGCTCACGAGACTAAAAAGGACACCAAGCCTCTCATCATGAAGAAGATAAAGGAGGGGATAAAATGGGGAGATCAATTGATCGATCCACACCAACAAGCCTCACGCATATGGTATGAGCAATAACGCCCCCCCCCGCCCATACCCTCCTAGCCAGATGCCCATCAACCCTTGAGGTCTCAAAGTTCTAGCGCGCTCTAATATCGAACGTCATGCAGATGGCCATGACGTCGCTTAGAGGCTGCCGGCCACGTGCCACGCGCGGATGATCCCATCGGTGTACCTGGTGAATTGCCAACAACAACGCGAAACGCAATCACCGAGGAACAAGAAACGGGAGTCACAATTGAGTTTGGAATACTCTTCGACGTGTGCTCCTTGCCAAGTTGTCAACTCTCGAGGCGTTGTAAGAAAGAGAACCCGTACCGAAGACTGCACTGACGTGCCGTTGTACCTAACAAGCGGTTCTACATTACGCGCGCAGACTAGACTGTACTTGACGAACATCGAACTACACTCCATGATGTTGAGACGCAGCCGTCATATCATTCAACGAAATCAAGGAAAACATGTACCAGTCGACAGGTCTTACCACGCACGGAACAACTTCATGCCCATGCACAATTTTTTTGGCACGGGCACGAAGGAGGCGGGGCAGGCTTTCAAAACTGGTTGCCTCATGGGCAATCTTTCTTCGGGTTCATGACACCCCTCGCCAACCGCGCGCTCCGTCCATTTTGGACAGTGCGCGTAAACGCTCGAGGGGCAACGCCTGCTGAGACCCGGGATTCTTCGCTATTATCTACCGGTGCGTATCTTAGATATTCTTTGGAGTTTCGGCCTATTGACTCTCTTCTTAGAAATGCAACAAGGACGCTCAGAGCTACCGCTCTTAGAAGAGTGCATTCGTCAAACCAATAGCTACACGTAATGGAACACAAGTCATTTTTGTACGAAAGGAGAGGTTGAACATATTCACCAAGACTTTCGGTGATTTCTACAAATACACCGCTCTGCATGCACAGAAAGACACCACCTTCATGTAGGTATGAGCAGGCACATTGAACAACATGTGGTGTTCCACATTCACGTTAGCCAGACCCTACCGCCAAACTTATCGCTACCCAGGTACCGTGGTCAGCACCATGGCGAGTTTGGCTTCCCATGCAATAATTACCGAAATTGAGAAGTTAGCTGGGCGAGCTTTTGAGATAACGAGGGATTGATGTTCGCGGACCATCGTCGACGGCCTGATACTAACTGGTCGGAAGAGACTCCGGTTATACCTCGAACGGGTAGTTACTCCTTGATTGTATGTATGCTTCCTAACAGGATGCGGCCCTTACCCGGAGTAGAGGATGCTTCCGTTGTTGGACCAGCAGAGGCAGGTGCAGTACGGCACGATGGCCTTCATCGACACCTCGGGGAACTCCGGTCGGAGCTCGTCCACCACAACCTTCGACTCCAGGTCCCAGATCTGACAAATTAAACAAAAACAACATCTTAGACGTCGAAAAACAAAGCCCTGATAAATGTATTACAAACCAATGGCTTCACGTCTATTAGCTTGAGGATGAGAAGGTTTAACACCAAGTTCGAGGAAAAGAAGGAAACCTCCGCAGCAGTGGTACTACACGAAAGGCGTTATCGTGCTCGTTCCTTATAAAACGCTTAAACCTCGGTCCCCGCCGCGGGTGTTCGTTCGCTGCTACAGCAGCACCCTTGATACTGCACCCGTGGATATCTGCCCGCCACGGGTAACGACTCAGGTTGCCCGGCCATTTCACATACCCCGTTTGAAATTGTCGGGACGAGTCCACCGAAGTGGCATGCACAAGAGTTCAAGTCACGGTAAGCCTCCTAAACAACGGAGTAAATCTAGGATCATCAAGGGCACGAAAAATGCTCGTTCCAAGAAGTGTTCACCCTGTGCGTCGCGATCAAAAATCAAGAGTAATCCTGCCTGGTGCGTACCTTGATGCCCGCGGTGGTGGCCGCGCACAACCAGTAGCGGTTGGGCGAGAACACGAGGGAGTGGATGATGTCCCCGGCGTCGAGGGAGTAGAGGCGCTTGCCCTCCTTGAGGTCCCACAGCATGGCGGTGCCGTCCTTACCTCCGGAGGCGCACAGGGACCCGTCCGGCGACACCGTCACCGTGTTCAAGTACCTGTAATCACGACATGCATATAACAATAAGGTCGTTAAAACCGCATCACTCGTGCGCGTGGTGATCCGCACAACAGTGCGGAGGAACAAGTAGGAGTGTGCTTCTCAAGGCATCGGCAATACATAATGGCGAGCAGAGACTGCTTGTCACCGTGTTTTAAGTATATGCCTTACGATACGATGTGGCCTGTAGCATGCAAAAGACAAGAGGGGAGAGGCGATCACCGTGGTCACGCACCCGATGCACCAAGAGAAGGGAAGCCAACATCCGCACCACCACTACGCAGTACAACGGAAAAAACAGCCTGAACATAAAAGCAAAAGCAACACATTTCGGCACGAACCTAAGGCGTGGAGGGAGAGCAAGGTCAAGATTCGCGTATTTTCTCACCCGGTGTGGCCGATGAGGTTGGTGTGCAGCTTGCAGTTCGACAGGGCCCAGACCTTGACGAGCTTGTCCCATCCCGCCGACACGATCACGGGGGCGGACGGCGACGGGGAGAACCGCACGCACGACACCCACTCCGTGTGACCCTGTTCATTACCAGAGCCGAAACATCCGGGGAAAACGCGGCGCAACAGGGCAACCACAGCCGGAGGGAATTCAGGAATCGTTTTTGTTCAAGACTATGTAAATCAAATAGAACAAGCTGAGCCCAGCCCTTTCCTTCAGGCACAAGTCAAGCTCATGTAAAACATGGGAAGTCCAATGGCTAATTGGGGCCGGTGGACCCGTACTTGGCAAGCATCTCCATCCGAAACCAGTTGTTGATTTGCGGGCTGCAGCTGCCAAATTTCACTCTCGTGGCAGCGTACATGGTCGTCATAGGGTGTTCCTGATTAAGGAGGCAGAGGGCAAACATGTGAATCTTCTCAAAGCAAATAAATAACTGACATCGCTCACGAAGGCCACAAGCGATCACCCCAAATTCGGATACCTGGTGTGGATATCATACAAGCAGGGAGCACTTGAATAGACGTCTTGGTGAATGAGGAAGCTGACGGGATTGATACCGTGACACAAATTAAACTCTGGTGGACCTTATCAGCAGCAGACAACATGCGATAAACTCACCAGAGCAAAGCTGCCGTCATATCATTCAACGAAATCAAGGAAAACATGTACCAGTCGACAGGTCTTACCACGCACGGAACAACTTCATGCCCATGCACAATTTTTTGGGCACGGGCACGAAGGAGGCGGGGCAGGCTTTCAAAACTGGTTGCCTCATGGGCAATCTTTCTTCGGGTTCATGACACCCCTCGCCAACCACGCTCTTCCCATTTTGGGCAGTGCGCGTAAACGCTCGAGGGGCAACGCCTGCTGAGACCCGGAATCTAAAAAACGTTTGTTACGGAACATCTTCCTCTGTAAATTCCTTGTTTACGCCTCCCTTGCGTGTCAAACACTTCAACACGGCGGAGTCGAATGGACTCCCTTGTCACTGAATGGGAAGTTAGTCACGATCGCTGCCGAATACAACGCAGCACATAAGGTATTATACAAATACCAAATATCCTACCATCCGAGACTCAAGACATCTTGAAGGACATGAAATGCCCCATGATTTGCAGCAATTACACTTCGGAACGTTCCGACGAACGGTGTATGTGCAAACTCTGAGAAGCCACCCCTTACAGGACAGTGCCAACAACAATCACAACCAACAGTAGCAGCAACAGCAGCGGTACTCACGTCCTCCTGGATGGTGTACTTGCACTCCCCGAGGGTATTCCACAGCTTGATTGTCTTGTCGCGGGACCCGGACACGATCTGCCTGTTGTCAGCCGAGAAGGCAACCGATAGAACGTCCTTCGCGTGGCCGACGAAGCGGCGGGTGGTACGGCCGGACTGGATCTCCCACAACCGCAGGGTTCCGTCCCACGACCCGGACCTGATCCGGTTCATTTCGTTCGTCGGGGAACAGGAGGGAGCACCGGGTGTGCATGTGCTAAGGTGGGCACGCCGCGTAGGTGACAAAAGCGGACCTACTCAAGGAACCCAACGCAGACAAACAACAGCAAGGACATCGACGGCAGCTCACGGCCGAGACTGTTGAAAATGACAAAGGAACCCGATGGAAGGGTGGTATGCGGGATATTGGGCAACTGGAGAATGCGATTCAAACGCAGAGATGGTGTTTCTGAGATTCATCCGCCCCTATGTAGGCCTTGCGACTTGTCGATAGGTTTCGCGCCCGGCACCTTCTGCACGTTGTTAGCAGCACTCCTTTCCGGGGGCTACTGAATAATCTACCGTGACCCTCTGGTTCAAGGTAACGCACACATCAGAACATGTGCTTGAATACCACGGCTTGTGGTAATTCTCGTGTCTATTTCTCGTTCTTCATGTTGCTAACAAGGGCGCGGCAGATCGATCCGCTGCAAGCTAGCACGGGAGGAACCAAGCAAGGGCGTATTCAGCATTTAGGCCCTGTTACGTGTTGCCGGTACTGTAGCGCTGCTCCATCCTGCGCTGAGCCACTCAAGAGAGTATCCTGGTTGCTGTCAGTCTCGTCGGCCTAGTTGCAACGTGCTGCCTGATTGTTCTGTCCTGTAGTAAATAGCACGTATGTGGCAACTGGGCGAACGACACGTTCTTCGTGGCTCGGCGCAGGATCGAGCAGCGCTACAGTACCGACAACACTGAACAGGGCCTAAATGCTGAATATGTCCATGCTGCTGACAATTCTTCCCGTGCTGGTGGTGCAACTGGAACTTTTTGTACGTACGGCGCCCAGTACGCACAGCTCTGGACAGGGAACGATCAAGCGCTAGCTTGCATCAAGGAACCATCGCGTGAAACAGCACCATCTTGCAACACAGCAGCGGACATCACACTCGCGCGCGCAGCAGCAGTCGTGTCCAGACAGACGATGAATCTGAACAACTCACAGCGCGAACTGTCCATCGGAGGAGATAACGACCTCAGAGACGAAGTGGGAGTGGCCGGTGAGCGAGCGGTGGGGGTAACCGTACTGGTCCTCCCCGCGCTGAAGCTTCCAGACGATGATGCTCTTGTCGCGGGACGAGGACACGATCATGTCCGGGTTCTGTTTGAAAACCATGAGCAAAGAGAAAAATAAAAACAAACGCAAACACAGCATGATTAGTAAAACACTGCAGTCTATGGTTACGGCGGAACAGAGTCTTCATATACGATTATGTTGCTTGACAGGGCAATCAGCCACCCAACAGATACGTACAGCAGTACCTTCCCATCGGGGTTTCGTTGTGACTTTCAACCCAGGAGGGCTTCCCTGAATCGGCTCTTCGCTGCCGGAAGCAATGCGTCTTTGCCAGCTGCAAACCATATAAAAATAGGTAAATTGATGGCATCCCCACCTCGAGGACTAGAATGACCCTCCATCTATCTAGCTGCTGTGCCACGCGCGGTCCCGTCCGCACGTCCACATACACCCAATGGGGAGGCCGGATACACACACACGGTCCGTTCATTTTTCAAATGATATTTGCCATTTCCCTTGGGTAGGCTGACTTCCCTCTCACCTCCGAGGTGGCCGCGATGGACGTGACCCAGTCCTCATGAGCCACCAGCTGGCCGCGAAACTTGAGTTGCTCTCCCATAGTTGCAGATTGGAGTAGACACGGGGGGGAGTTGGGCGTGCAAAGGAGGGTGCGTGAGGCTTGTGTGGCCACCCTTTGCTTTGCCAGCCTGGGCCGCGGGGGCGAAATTGACGAGGGGGTGTTTTACATATCACGGGGCCTCTAGTAATTCCACCGCACTGGCGCACTGGCCACACCCACCCAAATCAAGGGAGCACTGCTCGCTCTCTCCCCGTCCGCCCCCCTACCCTCTACTCCCGGCCTCGACATTACCCCAGAGCTCTGCTAGTTTAGAGTATAGTAGCGTTTTCGCTGTTCGATAGCAGCAGAAGGATTCGGCACGAAAGGGACGGGAAATCAATCAAATATATCCGTCATGGAGGTTGTTGCACCTCCCACCGATGGGCTCGCCGCCCTGCCTCCGCCGGAGCCGGAGAAGCAAATGCCCACAATCCTGTGCTGCATGTGCTCTCTTCCCATCCCGCCCAACCCGACGTCGATGTGCGTCCTGTGCATCAGGACACAAGTTGACATCACGGAGGGCATTGCCACCAACCTCACCATGCACCAGTGCCGCGGGTGCCAGCGCTACTTGAGGCCTGGGTGGGTGGAATGCAAGCTCGAGTCTCGGGAGCTCATGGCCGTGTGCTTGAGAAAGGTGAGACATGGCAACGTACACTTTCTGGTAGTTAGAGCGCTGCTGTGTGTCGGTACATGGTGGGACCATTGCTTATTTTTGCTGATCCCTATTCTCAAAGCGTTTGGGGGCTGGGACCGAGTTGCTTCTGCTGTTGGTCCCACAGACTAGCTGTGGTCGTCTACGCCTACGTGTACAGACCAAATACTCGCCCCCGCTCGGAATGGTCCAGATCAGCGGCTTGAAGAAGGTCAAGCTGGTGGACGCCTCCTGGATCTGGACAGAGCCTCACAGCCGACGGCTCAAGGTCAAGCTCACGGTCCAGAAGGAAGTCGGTAACGGTGCGGTACTGCAGCAGGCGATGGTGGTGACGTTCGTGGTGCGGAACCAGCAGTGCGATACCTGTGCAGCCGCGTTCACGAACAACACCTGGACGGCGGTGGTACAAGTCCGGCAGAGGGTGGACCACAAGAGGACCTTCTTCTACCTCGAGCAGCTCATCCTCAAGCACAACGCGCACAGCCAGTGCACCAACATTCAGGTGCGGATGTTGTAGGCGGAATGTTTGCAGTACTGCTGCGATCGGTCTACAGAGCCCATTGTCAAGCAGCACCATTATAGTTGAATCGCGCTTGGAAGGTTGCATCTGCACTCCACCGGTTCGCGATGCGCGGACGCTTGTGTGTTTCGGTACCCTTTGTGCCTGGCCGTAACTCTTGGCCAGCAGCATCGACAGCGCTACTCCAAATCATAGCCGTACTTCCACTTTTTGTGTTGCTGCTGTGCTGGTCGTGTTCATCGGCACGCTTGATGGACACAGCATTACTGTCTACATCGCGAGTGGAACTGCGTTGCCAGCCAGGGTTGATTGCCGTCTCCCCCACGCCTCTCACCGCCGCCTGTTCATGCACTGCTTTAGCTTGACCCCACGTCCCTTTTCATTTCCCGTTGCGCTCTCTGGTGAATGCAGACGTTCAAAGACGGCATGGACTTCTACTTTACTGAGAAAAGCCACTCCGCGCGCTTCGTTGATTTTTTGGAGGGGGTGGTCCCGACCAAGGCGAGTCGATCTCGTGGAAAGTTCTGTTTCGTTTGCACTCCCAAGGCAGCCCGCAGCGCGATATTGATTAAACTTGTCTGCTGTCTGTTGGTGGTTTCACACGTAGCTTGTAGCGTACCATGTTCGCGTGATGGCGTCCAGAGAGCCATTGTGTGCCGACACGGCGTTGTTGGTAGCTACGTAACCTGCCGCGCCTTCACGATGGGGCTTTCATCCTTCGATGTTTTGGCCCTAGGTGAGTGTTTGATACCGCGGGCTAGCCTCTTCACGTGCCCAGGGGACCTTCACGATGGGGGCAACAACGCCAAGGAGGCCGTGTCGCCCCGCCAACCCACCCATAAATGCGTGTCCACAAATTGTCGGCACGACACTCGACACACGCACACCTGCCTCTGGATCTTTCGCCAACACCACACCAACAGGTGAAGCACAGTAAGAAGCTGGTATCGGCGGACAACCACTCCAACATCTTCAACTTCCACTACACCTACCTTGTGACCTTGGTGCCGGTGTGCAAGGACGACCTGGTTCTGCTGCCGAAGCGCTTGGCGGAATCCCTCGGCAACATCTCGCGGCTGGCGGTCGCGCAGAGGATAACGAGCGCGGTCCAATTCGTCGATCCCTTGACCGCGCAAACGGCCGACGTTACGGAAGAGAAGGTGACACGTTAGTGACCCAACGCTGTCTTGAGGGGTTCCGTTTATGTTCTCGCAACCTTCTGGCGTTGGAGCCGTGGGTGCTGGGGTGGGGGGCTTTCACGCGACCTGGTTGTTTTCTTTGGCAATGTTCCCAAGCATTGTGGAAAGCGATTTGTTCGTGCGTACGCAACCCACATTCGACTTACGGCCGGTGAACGAAATAAATGACTAAATCCTTCTCGATATAGGAAAGCACCGCAGGAACAAGGTGGAGAAAGGGCAGGAAAAGTAACAAGAACTCCTGCTGATTCGATGACAACATACACGTCCTCAACGTGTAAACTCTGAAAGTGCAGAACAAACAACATGACATGCCTAGCAGCAGCCAGCAGCAGCAATCGATACCGAGTTTTGTTTTTCTCGTTCGTTGATGGCCCCAAGTGCTGCTCCTGCTGCTGCTGCTGTTGATGAGCACGCTTTAGGTCGCGAGGTACATGCCCACGCGATAGGGAGATTGACGGGGATCGGGGCGACGCCGTTATTCTGTTGGTAGTGGTGGTGATTCACGTTATCACAACAGCCTGACAGTAGCTTCCCGCCCGTGCGCAAAGAGCCATTGGGCGTCTACTGTGACTCTTGGTTACTACTGCCTTGCTGCACAGATTAGTCATTAACTAACACGGTCCCCTGTGCATTCGCGGAGCGAAACATGGCGGTTGGTTTCAAACAATAGATGGAAGGCTCTTGCTAGTACACCCTTTCACAAGTGCCTGACTGCTATGCCAACAACTCCGTCGGCTACGCTGACACGGAGCACTGAGCACCTACTCCGCCCCTCTCGGACCCATTCTGTTATAACTCCCTTGTTCAGTACTGGCGGTACGAGTTCCCGTCGCTACTGAGCAGCACCCGCTTGGTCCCGTACGTGGTGCTCGGCACGGAGCCTCTTCCAGAGAAAGCGCGCCCCTCGGCACCCCGCCGGGGACACCGTATCCGCAAGGCCCGCGTTGCAGAGGTGGAGTTGGCCCGAGAGTGCGACCTCGGGCGAAATGACGACCGCGTTACCGCCGTCTCGCACCTGGGGCACATCTTAAGGGCGGGCGACACGGTGCTAGGATACGACGTTTCTTCCGCCAACCTCCCGGAGGGGGAGGCAACGGGGGACCTTAAGGGACGCCTGCCGGACGTCGTTCTCGTACGAAAGGTGTACCCTCGGCATGACAGGGAGGGGGGTGGGAAGGCGGACCGGCATTGGAAGCTCGGGGAGTTGGAGAAGGACGGAGGCGACGGCGGAGGAGGGGGCGGGGTCAGCGAGAAGAGGGACGAGGCGGCCGCGGAGAAGGACTACGAGCGCTTCCTGCAGCAGCTCGAGAGCGACAAGGACATGCGGCGGCAAGTTAACCTTTACAAGCAGGGCCTCGCTGCCAAGCCGGCGGTGGCTGATGGGGACGGGGCGATGGAAGACGTCGAAGAGATGGATGAGGAGGAGGTGCGGTTGGATGAGCTGCTGGACGCGATGACGCTTGACAACGCAAACGCCGGGCCGGACAGCGAGGAGGACCTGGGCGCCGCTAGCGCTAGCATCTTCGAGGCGGGGGCAGCTCCGGCACCTAACGCAGAATTGTTGTTGGACGACGACCCGGAACTGTAATACGCTGTGGGCAAAATGTGTTGTATGTTTGTTGTCTGTGGCGTAATTGTCGGGTGGTGTGGAGGGCGGAATGTTATCGTTTGCCTAGGGCATGACCCACACCTGTTCGGTAGAGTTTGGGCGGGCTTACCGTGGTGCCGACAAGCCGCGGCATACGAAAATGCTTTGATGAACCTTGATCCTTCTCAGGTCATCGTGTTTCTGTTGACGTTTTGGGGGGCGGTTCTTCGCCATTCTGTGAACACATTGGGTGAGTTGTTGGTGAACGTCGTAGATAAGCATGACCTCTTTCCTATCCCCCCCCATTTGTTGCACAAGTCGAGTGCTTGCTACGGTTCGCGAGCGGAGCGTATGGATTCAATGCTCCATGTCGTGTTACCGTTTTTTCAGGATCGATCCGCCACTTGTCGCGATGTCGTGCGACTATAACGCGTCCCGGAATATCACAACCAGTTCAATGCAAACGAGAGATCGTGTCTATAGCAGTGTTCGAGTATACTTGGGGCAACTTTGAGGCTCTGCCGACCCTCATCGCAACGTTCTAGAACGTTCGGTGCTTGGAATACCTACATTCTGGGAAAGCATGTTGAAGAATGTTGTCCGGCGAGTTTATCGGTCGACGGGGTTGTGTGTTTTTTTGGGTTGCGGCTGTAAATGAAATTCAGTGCAGAGGGGCATTTCCTGCGCGGTACCGAGCTTCAAGCGCGACTGGGCGCATGATTGCTTGCCTTTCATGACGGGCAGGACTCTGCTGTAGTACCAGTACGAGAAGTCGGCGCCGTGCTGCACTGCTGTACCCGTTATCATGGCGTGCTTCACACCCATAGGTAGCAATCGAACACCAACCAACACGTGCCGAATCGTTCGTTTAGCCCTCGAAGAACCGTGAGTTGCAAATTAGAGGTCCAGACGAATATGGCATGCGCTCATGGAGAGGGCATTATTCTGCTTGTAGACTAACAGTCCCCAGGGACGTAAGCACCTTGGTAGGAAATGCATGTGGACACACTGTATTCTGAAGCCAAGTCAGGATTTCTTCCAGTTCAAGGCTATTCACAGACACAGACGTTTACCAATAAGGGGACAAGTGGCTTGGGAGACACGTGTACAGCATGTCAGAGGCCGAGGAGAGGCATCAAACAGCGTATCACAGGTGCCTCCCACAAGCATGGTGGACCAAGAGGCGTCACACAGCAGAGCATACTGAAGTAGACCGATGGCTTGTACTGAGTGTTGTGTCCCCTTGTGTGCGTCCAGGACTGAAGGGTGGTTGCACACTCAAGATATGTCGTGGAATTGTGGATCAAGCTTCCAGCTGCAGAACGGAGGGCCCGACCCACCGACAAATTCAAAATTTACACTGCGCCGTATTGTAGTCTATAATCCAAAGTGAAATTACGCGACAACTCCTCAACTCTTTGGTGCCAAGAGTTCCTCGTATACATGTGATGTAGCAGATGTACAGCCGCGCAACCAAGTCAGAGCGGGAGTCGCCTAAATCGACAGTGCTTGTGCATGCCCTTTCGTAGCTGGCCTTTAGGCCTCAACGATCGGCCGTGACTCTTTTTTTTTCAGGTTTTCGATTTTGGTTCAGAAGGCGGTATCTCTCGTCGTCAAGAATGACCAACGGCAGCAAACCCGCCGCTAGCTGGCGGCTCGTGCTCTCCCTTGCGGCTTGCCTCTTGCATTACACTAGCTTGCACACGCCGAAGTCATGCCAGGGGCACGAGACGCAGGGAGCGGAGGAGGCCTGTTCTCGCCAGGCGTTCTCCAACAGCTGGACAAGGAAAATGTCGTCAACACGCCAGCTCGAACGCCGGACAGGAGACGAAAGCCTGGCTCGGCAATACGAGGTACCTCGTCATCAGCAGCAGCAGGTGTTGGCTTCAAAGTCTTCCAGCAACAAGGAGAAGTGGCCACTATCACGTCGGTGGCCGGGCAAGAAGCTTCGCAACTCGCCTCCGACCTCTCACGTGCGGAGTCGGAAGTGGCCAGGTTGAAGGAAGTGGCCCGGCAAGCCCGACGAGCACTGGACGAGAGGAGCGAGATGGTTGAGCAACTCAAGGCCAGCAAGGCGAACACCAAGCAGCGATATACAGCGCTGCTCCAGAGCCATGAGGAGGCCAACAAGGAGCTAGCGCTGCTGCGCACCCAGAAGCTCGACAGTAGCAGCGACAGCGGCAGCGGCAGCGTGGAGCGGCTCAGAGCCACGGTCGAGAACCTCGAGACCAACAACGAGCTCCTGCGAGAGGAGCGGGGCTCGCTCCAGACGCGCCTGGCCAAGCGCGACGCGGCCGTCTCCGCCATGAAGGCCGACCTCACGGCCGCCGCGCAACGGGGCGACGCCCTGCGCCAGGAGGCTGACCGCTTGCGGGAAGAGCTCGACGCAGCAGCAGCAGTGTCGAAGGCTGGAGCGCAGGCCCAGTGGGACCTCGACAAAGAAGCCCTGGAGGCCCGCATCGGCGAGCTCGAGACGCAGGCGGCTTCCTCGGGGAGACGGTGCGTGGAGCTGGTGGCGGAGCGCGATCTGCTGGCGGAGGAGTCGGCGCGGCGGGAGAAGGAGCACGCGTCTACGGTGGCTTCCCTCCGGAGCGAGATGCAGGGGTTGCACAGGAGGACGACGGCAGACCTGGGGGACTGGAGGCAGAGGTACCGGCAGGAGGTGGGCGCGAAGAAGGCGCTGGAGGGTCAGCTCGAGCGGCTCGTCGCCGCCAGCGAGAGCGTCACCCGCGTCATCGAGAAACACGCCGTTCTCGAGGCCTCCTTGCAGGAGGCGTACGAGCTGCTGTTCCAGGCGGTGCTCGCGGAAGAAACGGGGGGGAGGGGGCAGAAAGCGGAGGCGGCGAGGGTGGTTGAAGGGGTGCTCGAGCACCTGCTGGGACGGGTGTTTCAAGCTACCGCCGCAACGAGCGGTGACGAGGAGGAGGAAGGCGAGGACGAAGAGGGGAGGAAGGAGCGGGAGGCTGATCGGCGGCTGAGCAAGGAGGCCTCGGACAACCTGGGAGAGGAGCTGGAGAAGCTTATGGCCGACATGGTGCGCACGTGACTGTACTCACCAAGTGTTCGATAGGCTCGAGCCTTGAAGTGGCGTGTGCTGTACCCGTGCCGCGCATACGTGCGGTGATCCACTCGCCGCCGATCGAGCGGGTGTGAATAGGGAATTGGTGCATTCGGGTGCCCCGGGGGTGTAGGCGACAGATCGCAAATACAGGGAAGAGCACCTGCCAAAAGTCGCCCACGAAGCGATATATTGCAGCGTTTCTCGTGCCCTACTCCTGCAATCTGTTCAGTCCTTTCCGTAGATACGCGGTGTGGTTACACCGCGTCTTGACTCTCGCCCCCTCTGAGCGTCCTGTTCATTGCAAAACTCAGCCGTGGTCGGTAAACCAAGTAGGGTTAGAAACCTGAATCTTCTTCTTCCCTTCCCCCGTGGAATTCGTTGTTGTGTTGATGGCTACGCTGCTGTGGCGGATCTGGAACTTGCGCTGCAGGAAGCCCTTCGGAGTTTCGGCCTAGACGAGGCTCACACGTTTCTGGAGCAGGTCAAATCGCTCGAGGTGAATTAAGAGTTTATCGAACTTAGCTTGTGCATCCAACAGGAATGCAGGAATTCCTTGCAGTATCTCAAAAGCCTACAACAACGGCTTCGAGTAGGAAACTCTGCAATCAGTTGGATTACATCTGCTGCATTCCTTTTTTTCTGCAAGAACGTGGTGCCTCCCGCTCAAAAGAAAACCAAGTCAGAGTTTAGCTCCCCTCCGCACCCTTTCCGCCTGCTTGTTCAAAATCCGGCGTGTCCTAAACAATATCGTCTCGGGGTGCGAACGTCCATGACTGTGCGTGTATGTAAGGCGGCAATCCCAGCATCAGGTTATGTTGGAAGAGTCCTCATTCCTTGAGGGTATGACCTGGATAGCACCGATGGAACCCCCGTGTGGCAACAACGCCCCGCCCTCTCGACGACGCGTGGTCGGTGTTCCAACTGCTAACGCAAGGCATGCAGAACATTACTACGCCCTATAGAAGCCGAACTCCAGCCATTAGATGTCAGTGCTGACTAGGTAGTCTAATGGTTTGAAGAAGTTAGTCGTGGGCTTGACGACAACCCTCGCCCCTCCCCGTTTGGTTTCACTTTCACTTTCCCGCGACAACATCCCACAACACCAGACCGAGCTCGAGGCTGTTCGCGAGAAGCACGCGGCGTCGGTGTCCGACCTGGAAGCCGCCCGCGCACACTCGGAGCAGGAGGTGGAACGCCTGGCCGGCATGCTTGAGAGGGGGCAGGGGGAGCGCGAGGAGCTCCAGCTTCGCCTGGAGACCGCCGCCAACGAGCTTGCCATCAACGTGGAACTGTCGGAGCAGGCGATCGCCGCTAGCGTGACCGCCGGGGAGCAGGAGGTTAGGGAGGCCGAGGCGAGGAGGGCGGCGGAGGAAGAGCGGCGGATGCAAGAGCTGGTAGGGGTCTCGATTGTGGAGCAAAATATTGTTGTTCTTGTTTGTGGTGCTGCTGTGGCTGTTGCTGTTGCTGTTGCTGCTGCTATGGGGTTGTTGTTGCTGTTGCCGTTTTGGGTGTAGCAGTTGTTGTTGGTGTTATGGATGCTGCTGCTGCTGCTGCTGCTGCTGCTGCTGCTGCTGTTAGTGTAGTTGGTGTAGTCGTTGTTGGTGGTGTCATGGCTGCTGCTTGTGCTGTTATTATTGTTGTGGCGGTTGCGTAAGGTGATGATGATGATGGAAGGAGGAGCGAGAGCCTAGTCTCAATTGTATGCGGGTCTTTGGACGGCTATAACTCCCGTGTTGTTTCTGTTCGGATGTTGCTGGCGAGGCCGACGCTGTGAGATCATCGTCGTTGAGCTGGCTACTTCACCATCAATGAAGACCCCGCCCATCGTATTCTTGAACGCCTCGGCTCGATTGCCAAAACCAACAAACCTTGTTACAAAGCTCCTCCTTTTGTTTGTTTGTTGGGGTGTCGTGATGCAGGAAGCCGACAACAAGAAGCGGAGAGAGGAGCTAGAGGCGGAGCGGCGGGCCTACGCTCAAAAGGCAGAGGCGTTGGAGGTGCGAAAATATTTCTGAAGTAGAGATTGAGGTATCTCGCTGTTTTGTCGGAGAGAACTAAGGACACGCCTGATGAGCCCATCAAGGATGCATAGTGGATGGTGTGTTGTCGGGGGGCGGGATGATAGATGAAGCATTGCACGAACAGAGCGGCAGTGGTAGTTGTGGTTTGATCGCCGGATGTACACCTCAACCGCAGCCCTCATTAGCTCGGGGTTTTGTCTGCATTATTCTGCCTTGCGAACCAACCGCACGCCCTGGCGTTGCTCCGGATGGAACAGGATGAGAACCGGGCGCTGCACGAGAAGCTTGAGGGCTTGGCTACACAAGCGTCGGCGCTCAAGGCTAAGGCGGCGGCTAGGTGACCCCAAAGTCATGGTGTCGTTGCTGAGTTCCCTCCAAAAGTCATGATGTTATTGCTGCGATCGCTCCAAACCCTGTTCAGGTGGATAACTAGCGCTGTTGTGTACCACGTACTCTGCGGAATTTTTTCGTTGCTCTGAATTGGTACTATCTGTAGTTTTTCTCTACCCTTTCGCGTGTTGTGAGAGGATGACCAATTCATGTGAGGTTGTCGATATGTCACCATGCCATTGTAATGGGACCTGGTTGCCCGCAATTCGTCAGTTTTTTTTTTTTTTCAACGAGACGTCCTATTTTCGTTTCTGTTTTGCTGCGATGATAGGGAGGCGTCTTCTCCACCGACGGTTTCAGTTACAGATTGGGAGGCAAAGCAACAAGAGCTGGAGGAGATGGAAGCACGGCTGTCTGCAGTGGTATCGAAGAACGTGAGATTGATGGAGGGAGAGCCGTCTTTGTTATTTAGTCCCTGCATCACCCATACAAGTCCAAGTATCCACACACAACAGTTGTTGTTGTTGTTGCTGTTGTGTGCTGTTGCTGTTTCTGTCAAGAGCTTGTGCTCGAAGAAGGCCAACCCTCGTCCTGCAGAGTTATTCTGGTTCGGGTCTCCAAGCTGCGTTCAAGCACAATAACCGACTCGCTTACTATCCCTTTCCTTTCGAAGCATCTCCTTTTGTACGAGTAGCGTATCCCCGGAAACAGCCTCCACTGTGCAAGTATTGTATGTAGCTGATGCGAGTGGTTTTATTCCCACATGCGTTCTCCTTTCTTTCTTTCCCTTTCTCTTCTCTCCCTATCCCTCTCTTTCTCTTCTGTCTGTCGGCTTCGCCCTGCGGGCCTGTCTCTCACGTTCTTCCACTCTCCATCTCTCTCTCTCTCTTTGGTGCCCTTCTGTCCTTCTTCCTCCCCCTTCCCAAAATTCTCAACTTTTCTATGCGCCGCCGTGATGCCATGATGCCATGATGTCATGATGACAGCAAGAACTGGAGAGGAAGGTCGAAACCGTCAAAGCCGAGCGACAAGAAGCGAGCCTTGGAAGCGGAGAACGTCAGGCACAGGTTGCAGTGCTAGAGGCAGAGGTCAGAAGCGAGCGGTGCTCTCGTGTTGCAATCGTGTTGACAGCTCACACGGCTTGATGTTGTGGGACACGGTCCGTCCTAAAGTGGCCGTTCTGTGTTATCGTTTTGCAAAGAAAGGTGAAAGGTTCTCGAGCATCGTCATCGCTTTTGTTCGGGTGAGTGCCTGTCTGCCTGCCTTCGCCTAGTATCCGCGATTGCTTAATGGGGCATTCCTCCCTTTCTCGACCTACTGTGTGAACGCATGCGGTTGTATGGTATCGATGCCACAATAGTATTTCTTCGTCAGTGTTGAGCGTCGACTTCAAAACATTTGGGTGTTGTCAATCCGGTATTGCATCTAGCGTAGAGCGATAATGACAACCTTGCGGCAATAAATGTGGTACGATGATCTTGATTTGACGTGACGATGTTCTTCTTGTGTATCACGTTCTCGACTTTCCTGTCATTCTGTGTGGTATGTGGCGCGTGTGCCTCAGCTGTGATGTACACCAGGGCTGCTTTGTTTACCACTTTGTTATCATGGCGGTGCAACGTGGGTGTCTGTGACCTGGCCTTAGGTGTCGCGGCTGAGGGAGAGCGTGGCGTCGGAGAGAGAGAGTGTGCTGAGAGCCAGGGAGGCCGAGTGGCTGATGAAGAAGTATGCCCTTCGCAACAGCACCCTCTGCGAGAAGAAGGTGGGGCATATGGACATGTTGCTGTAGGTGTCAAGTAGACGTTTGGCGAAATGATACCCGAAGGAGGGAGGAACTTGTTGGCATGGGTGTGATAGATGGTTCGGGGTCGTTGCGCTCGTCACATCGTTTTGTGTAAATATTTTTCCCTTTTTCCCTTACAAAACAAGCCTTGTGCAGCACTAGTCCATTTTCGGCAACTACTACTACTCCTACTACTTGACGCTTTTTCTCTGAACTGGCCGGCCCTTGTCGGTGCATCTGTGCCTGCTCTGGTCCACTGATGTCGCCTGGTGTTTTGTTCGTGGCGCGGACGGCAATGATTCAGGTGAAGGACTTGCAGAGACGGCTGGCGAAGGCAACGGGTAAGGCTGCCACCGGGGAGACGTGACATCATTATCTTCGTTTCTTTTTCGTGCATCGTACAGTATGCTTTGATGTATATATATTTTTGTCCACAGCAGAAAGGGGGGGGGGGTGATCATGAATCAGCCCCGGCAAGGTTTTCCACAAACGCTGAGCGTGCTTCTGCGCTCGCCGGCAATAAATCGGTTGATGTTGGTGTCCGGGCCAAACGTTTTAGGTACGAGGCAGTGGGAACGCGTACGTACGTTATAGGGGCTAATTTTCTTCGTCGAAGGTTGAACACCAAGCTTGCGTACCTGTATGCATACATGGGTTGAGCGAGGCAGGCCTTTGCTTTATGTGGAACCCTGCCATTGCTCCTTGGCTTCTTATGTGGTGATCTCGTGTAGTCTAGAGTGGTAGATCGTAGTTTTGTGTGCTTAGTACTCACCTTGTTCTTGTTCTTGTTTTGTTGTCTTTGAAGAACAAAGATGTTCCGATCACTGCTCGTACAGTAGTACATGAAACATTCGTATGGTTTAGCTGACGCGGGCGCCTTGGGTTACCACGAGGAAGAGGGTATGAAGAAGATGGGGAGGATAGGGACGGGCAGGATAATATCGCAGTATTCAATACCGGACGACACTTGCGACGGTACGACTTGGAACACTGTTGTTGATTCCGGAGGGGGTAGTGACGACAAGCTTTGGGACTTGACCCTCTTTATTTGCAGTTTTGTATCCGAGGGGGGGGAGGGGGGGGCAACCACGCATATTCTCACCTTCGGTGATCGACTTCTTTCCACAAGAACAGACCGGAACAGATGTAGGTATGCCTATCTGTGTAGTCTACACCGATGGTAGTGTGCAAGACCTTGGTGATGAAACAATTCCATTTGACTGCTGCTGTCCATTTTTGTGCAAACGACGACACGCAGGAAAAGGTTTGGACAAGCAAGACGCACTCTTATCTTGCAAGTACATCTGCTTGACTTGTTATGCCGATGACCCCGGTGTTTGAGTGGATAAAACGTTCAAGTTGAGTGCCTGTTGATGTAGTGTGCGTAAAGCACGTTTGTTTTCTGCGATAACAAGAGTCACCCCATTCACGAGAGGAGCACGCTCTGGAGAATATCTGTTTGTTCCTGCTGTGCACCAAGCTCTCTTCCCGACAGTCATATGTATGTACGTGTGTGCGTGTGCTCAAATATAGCTTCCTCGGAACGGGTATGTTTGCCCTCACACAATCACACGCTTGTTCGCGGCGAAGCAGTAACAGGCAGCAAGCAAGCTGCCCCCGCGGTAGCTGTGGCACGGGCACCTAACGGCACTGCACCAAACCCTCATCCACCTGAGCACGTCAAAGCAGAGAGAGAGAGGAACGCTACCGCAGCCGTGTTACGAGCCGCTCTGAGGACGGCATTTGAGCCCCCAACATGTACGACCACGCCATGCCGAAAAAATGAAATGATGAATAATTAGTTGCAAGTCGTTTTCATTTTGTCCTCCGGTAAACCAAAACAACCCCCGTACACCGCATGATGACGTAAACAAGCGGAACAGAGAGGGTTTTTGGGTAACAAGTGCCCACGGCGGTGGACCACAAAAACAAACAACACGAAAGAATAACACAACATGCACACCGAAGAATAATATATTTACTACCAACATTGCTGTTGTGGACTGATCGACTGCTGCTGCTGCCCGGCAAAAATGAATTGATGAAACCTGACCTACTTGCTCGTCGTCGACAAATACTTCGCTAGCACTGGCGGGAGGGGGGGG